GTGTGTATGTGTATGTATATATGTGTGTGTGTGTGTGTGTGTGTGTATGTGTGTGTGTGTGTGTGTGCGTGTGTTCATGTGTGGGTGTTCACGTGTGGGTGTCGTGGATTTATGTATTTATTTATGTGTACAGTGTGCACTGGTGCCTTTCACAGATCCATCAGCGGATCTCTATATTTTTTTAATAAAAATATATATACGCTCTAGTAGAGGCGGCTAAGCCTAAGGTGTGACCTCTGTAACGATGACCACTACATTACATACGTATAAACGACTTTTTTCATTCTATATATATATATACATAAATATATATATTGCATGGCCCTCTGGCCTCTGGTCACTCAGTGAGGCTCTGGATTTGGGTCTCGAGCAGAAGACAGGTTTCCGTCGTAGCGGAAATCGTAAACTTTTTAAAATTTAGCGCAGACTCAAATCCAGAGGGCCATGTATTTAGTTCTGCAACGACTGCCTTCATTATGACTTCCTGGTACGACGGCCTTCCCTAAACCTGTCGCTTACGCTTACCTCATATTATAACTGACGCTTACGCCTGCCTTGATCAGATGACACGAAACATGTTGAAAAAGCATGACCCTTTGCTGATTGCTCTAAAAATAGCAATTCTAGAGAGAGCCATGGAAAAAGCTTTTTTCGATCATGGTTTTGTTTTGCTTTTTTAAAATCTATATTACAAAAAATGGGGGTTTTTTTAATAAAAAGGTATCAATATATATCTGATATACACGTATATATATTATATATATATATATATATATATACGCGTAAATATAATTTAGGCGTATTAGTATGTATACATATCCATACATGTGCATATATATCAAGTAGTCTAGCCAACCATTTACCACGGCATAGGTGGTTTATGCCTATGTTGTGCAGTATAGACCTTCGTTTTCTCCACGATTGTACATATATATATAAATAGCTTATCATGAATCTATCACGACCGTATAAGATACAAAACTATATATAGACACGCAAGTTTCAAGTATGTCAGAAACAGGTCAGAGGAGAAGTATTGTGGTGGAAGGGCCAGGGCAGCCTACAGAAGGGTCAGCAAAGATAGGCAAGCTTGTAATCATACGACATGGCTTATCTGAATACAATATAAACCACCGCTTCACTGGTTGGCACGACCCTAAAGTAGGTGGAATCGAATATTTGAACGAATGGTTTGTTATTTGACTAAAATACATATACATATATATATATATATACATATATATATATATATATATATATATAAAATATATATATATGTGTGTATGTGTACATATGTATATAATGTATATATGGTACCATTCTGAGTCGGAGAGTACCATTCTGAGTCGGAGA